TTCATTTCCGTCAGAAATTGGCCGGGTTTTTTCGATTTATTTTTTTGGTGGGGCTTTTTCCGAAAAAATATAATGGCTAACCGAATACAAAATACACAAAGAAACACTAGAAAAACATAAACCTGACCTGACCTAACCTAACTGACTCACCATATGATGGAATCACTATTTCTTACCTTATTGGCCTGGTTCTCGTTCGTCGTTGGAGTTGCCACATATGTTGGTCTTGACGATATTTACATTCGTTCTTGCACTTAGGACACTTTACTGAGGTCGGGAGAACACCATGAGATCGAAAAAATGCTTTCGTTTCTTCGTTTTTCCCTAAAAACTCGCAATCAGCTCCATATAATTGAAGTGACACCCATCGCAGACTTCCATGGTCGGAATGGATTTGAATTTCGAAATACGAGACTCAAAATAAAAATCGATTCTGATTGGGCCAAAGATACCGCAAATTAAACCACATCATTTTAATTATTTGCAAAAAAAAAAAACCGCATTTGATTGGCCACGCGACGTAAGGGAACGCATGCACGTGATGATTTATGAAGGAAACACCCAGTTTGGGAGGTGAGGTAGACAATACTGGCGGAAGATTAATGGAAGAAAATAGAGAACATTTTGGATACGCTAACTCTCTTATTATACTTTTGCGACGGTAATGTAAAAGAATTTTTTATATAATAAGACGTCTTCTTCGAATATGATAATAGATTTGGGGTAGGAATGTCGGGTGCGGAAATACAATAATACCGGTTATAGTGTAATGATACGTCATTGGTCGCTTACCAGTGTTGGAAGTTAGTAACCTACTACACCTGTCTCATGGCTGAGGTGACGGTAGTGTAAATTTCTTAGCCCTCTTTGTTTCCTTATTATAAAACTTACCGAAAAGTCTTCCTAATAATGTAGATATATAGGATAACTGTCAAGAGTAAGTGGGTGAAGGTCTGTCCTGACCAGACTGTAGGTAGTTGGGGAAGACTGGTCATCAGTGGCAGTATCAATATATCTCAGTTGAGGTATAGTGTTAACCCTTTGAATAAGATAATTTACCTTTGTACATCAAATCATCTTCGAGGGAATATACCATCGTACTTAAAGGGTAATAAGAGTTTGTGGAGGGGTTGTCCACGAGAATGCAGAGGAGGGTGAGTCAGTGTGTGTGGGTTTGTGTCGGGTGTTGGGTGGCAGTGAAACCTGAATGTGGCGGCTTTGACTGCCTTCCTCGCCTCACCACAGTCACCTTCACAGCCTCGTCCAGCATCTAGTCAGTATTGTGTCCACGCCTCGCCGACGGCCATTTAAAGTGCTTATCACACTCGTCCATACCCTTGTCCAACACTGCAATACCCACCCCTTATCCTCGTCAGCGTCTGCTCTAGTCAACATCTTTTACATGCCACTCCAGAACATTTGCTACTCAATGGGTTTTCCCAGGCTTAACATTCACCCTTAATGTAGAACCCATGAAATGCCCCAGGGTATTGGAGGGGGGGGCTGATGCCCGTATTGTGGGGAAGCAGAAGTTTAGCCTCTGTTATTGTCCGGGAATAGATAGCCTACCTTGGATATTTAAAGGGGGGGATCAGTCTACTTTTACGTCACGTCAACAGCCTCGTCCTCACC